GTTGTAAAGTTGTAAGGGCCACAGGGACGTGAAGGGAGAACTGTGTGAGTGACTGGGCCTGACGTCATCTGCATGCCCCAGGGCTGTTCACTGCATTTCAGAGTTAGTGCCTGGGGCCTCATGCAGAGGCCCTGAGAGAACTGCTTTCCTTGCTCTTTTTTTTTTTGGGGGGGGGGAGGTTTTTGCTATAGGGCTTGCGTACGCCAGACAGACAGAGAGAGACAGAGACAGAAAGCGAGAAATCACCACAGGGGTGGGGGGGAATAGTCATGCTGCAATCCCTTCTCCTCCATTCTCCTCTCGGGATCTTGGGCACGCACGCACACACGCCAGACGTGAGTTTACGCCACCTGGTCCGGGACTCGAACTGCAGTTGGCTACATGGGAGTTCAACTACATAGCCATTACGCTAACTGCTGGCCCCTTTCTTGCTCTTAACATTAGAAAAGCTGGGGCCAGTAGATAGCATAGAACTTACGTTGCTGAACTCCCACATGGCTGACTGTAGTTCGAGTCTCAGACTCGGTGGCTTGAAACTCATGCCGCGTGCATGTCATGATCCCGGGAAGAGAATGGAGGAGGGACTGTGGTATGGCCATCCTCCCTAGGTGGTGATTTCTTACTTTTCTTCTCACTGTGTGTGTGTGTGTGTGTGTGTGTGTGTGTGTGTGTGTACGCGCGTGCGTGTGTGTGTGTGACTCTCTGGTGAGTGCATGGGTCACAGGCCCTAAGGCAAAAACCTCTTATCAAAAAAAAATGATCCAAGTCTTGTCCCGCATGCCTTCCTCGCTGGTTTCTGCCCTGTTGTCTAGGGAGCTCCTTAAAGGTTATGGTGGGGTAGTGTGGAACATCGCTCGCAGGGCCAGAGGTGGGAACTGCAGGTGCTTACCAAGATTCGACCTCCCCTGAGAACACCACCCAGGCTGTAAGTTCCCCTCTGAGTAAGCTTCTATCAGATTCTCTGTGGAACTGTCTGCTTTGTGTTTCTCTCTCTCCAAGTACACAGTTGAACACGGTCTTTTCTGTGTGTTCCTTTTGATTTATGAGTCCTTTTTGTTTTCTGAATATTAGGCTTTTCCAGACACATGTATTAAGGTATCTTCTGAAATTCAGTGGCTTCTCTATTCACTTTATTAATAGTGATTTATGGGGATCTCAGGGTGTGTGTGTGTGTGTGTGTGTGTGTGTGTAAATGAGAGGAAGGGAGGTATTTATTGTTATTATTATTTATTTATTTTAATTTGACCAGAGTGAGAGAGAGAGGGCAAGTGAGAAATCAAGCCACCACGTCCGGGACTCGAACCACGGTTGTTCATGTGGAAGTCCAGCGCCCTTAACCACCACGCCACCTGCCAGCCCCCCACCCCCGGAGAGGTAGGCATTTTTGACAGGTTCTTGCCATGTCAAGATGTTCTTTCCCCAGCCTCCCAGTTACTCAGGACCATGGGCACATGCCACAGCATCCCATCCATTCAGGGTGGTCCTGGAACTGACCCCAGGTCTCCCCTGTGGCCTCGGTCACAGCACAGCAGCGTCCTTGTGCATGGTGACTAGGCCCACAGGTTTTTATTTTGACATTCTCTACTTTCCTTTTCTCTGCATTATGTGTGTGGGGGGGAGCATCTCCTGTCCTCTGGAAGGAGGCCTGGCACCCAGCTGGGCCCATGGTCCTCCTGTCAGACATAGCCCACCTCACAGAACAGCGGCCTCAGCCCCCGAGACTCTGAGACTGTGATAGCGAGGGCGAGGCGAGGCCACTCGGTACCTGTGTCCACAGGCAGACGACACCGCTGACTGCCACGCCCAGCACCAAACAGCCCTGCCCTTGGCTGAAATGAGCGGCAGCTGCTGCGTTGCCAGTTCCAGGCTCATCCTCACTCTAGCCAGCTCTCCCTGTAGAGAGACACTGAGACGCCCAAGCACACATACCCCAAGTTCTGACAGCACCTACTCAGAGTCAACCCTGCCCCTTAGACTCTCCCCACCTCCCAACAGCGCCCAGTCCCCACACAGGTTCTTGATGACTCCTAACTGCAACACCGCATGGTCCCTCAGGGGCATGATCTCCCTGTCTACAAAATGCAGTAAGCCAAACTGGCCCTGCAGGAGGGGTCCTGGCAGCCTGTGGTCAGAGGGGATGGACTATGCTGAGTGCCTGGGTGTTTAGTCTGTCAGGATCTTTCAGGAATGCTGCCAGAAGTGTGACAACCCAGGACTAGCAGAGAGCAAAGTGGTAACGTCACTGGGGTGACTCCCACATAGTCAACTGCGGTTTGAGTGCCCAACCAGTGGCTTGAAACTCTCACTGACGCGTGTGCATGCATACCCAAAATCCCAAAAGGAAAATGGAGGAGCAGGGACTGTGGCGTGGCCATCCCTCCTAGGGGGGTGATTTCTCGCTTTCTGTCTCTCTGTCCCTCCTGCAAGTGCATGCCCCTTATAGCAAAAATCTCTCTCTCGAAAAGAAAAAAAGAAAGAAAAAAAATGTTCCCAGTGGGCAGAGTTTAAGGGGATAGATAGATAGATAGATAGATAGATAGATAGACATTTGGAGAGGTTTTGCTATAGGGCGTGTGCATTCCCCAGAAAGACAGAGACAGAGAGACAGAAAGCAACCCCTTATCCACCATTCTCCTCTCAGGATCTTGGGCACACACGCACAAGCGCCCAGCACGAGTTTAAGCCACTGGGTTTGGGACTCGAATCGCAGTCAGCTACATGGGAATTCAGCAACATAGCCATTATGCTAACTGCTGGTCCCAAGGAGGTATATTTTGTAACTCACTTTGAAGATAAGATGTCCTGAGGTTAGATGTTACTGATTTGTATGCAATAGTTAAATGAATTGACTGGCAGGACATTAAAGGAAGAGAATAAACGAGGTTTGGTATTTATTCCTCAGCTCTCTGCCATGAATTAGCTGGTACATTTCTCTCCTTAGGAGCACAGCTCCTGCCAGGGTGGCATTTCTGCAGGTTCTGAAATACTTCCAGCCTCACTACAGGCTTGGTGGTAACCCTGGCTCCCCACTGCCACTACCCACCCACCTGCCTGTGTGCTTAGAGCCTCTTCTTTTTTTTTCTAGAGACATTTTTGCTATTGGGTGCTTGTACTCACCGGAGAGACAGAAAGTGAGAAATCACCAGAGGGGAATGGCCACACCACAATCCCTTCACCTACATTCTCCTCTTGGGATTTTGGGCATGCACGCACACACGTGCATGCACACACGCAGACGAACCCAGCACGAGTTTCGAGCTGCTGGGTCTGGGACTCAAACTGAGGTTGACCACGTGGGAGTGCAGCAATGTAACCATGACGCCACCTGCTGGTCCCATAGAGTCCTTCTACTAGTCCCTCTAGTGTACCATTGCTTCTTCTCTCCACTCCCTGATCATGAACTTACAGAGGTAGGGGATTTTTAAAAATTAAATGTAATTTATTTATTATTATTATTTTTAATACATTTCATCGCTATACATCATTTGGCTTGTAAAGAGAATTGGGGGTAGGGGATTTTATCTCCTTTTTATTTCATTTTATTTATTTATTTATCCCAGTGTCTGCGATGATAGCTATTGCACAAGAGGTTTTCAATGAATATTTGTTTTTTTTTTCTTTTTTGGGGGAGAGGTTTTTGCTACAGGACGCGTGCGCTCGCCAGACAGACAGAAACAGAGAGACAGAAAGCGAGAAATCACCCCCCCCCGGGAGTGTGGGGGGGACCACACCGTAATCCCTTCTCCTCCGTTCTCCTCTCGGGATCTTGAGCACACACGCACAAGCGCACGGCGTGAGTTCTAAGCCACCAGGTCCAGGACGCGAACCGCGGTGGACTACGTGGAAGTGCAGCGACATAGCCATTACGCTAACTGCTGGTTCCCTCAATCAATATTTGTATGAACATATTTAGTGACCACTTATTTTCAGGTTTAACTCTTGATCTCTTCAGAACTCAGTGACACTTTTTAAAGAACTTCTTCCCAGTTGGCAGGCGGTGTGGTGGTTAGGGGCGTTGGACTCCCACTATGGCTAACCACGGTTTGAGTCCCGGACCTGGTGGCTTACTTTCTCACTTTCTCCCCTTTTCTCCCACCCCCACCGCTGATAAAATTAAAATAAATAAATAAATAAATAGATAGATAGATAAATAAATAAATAAATAAGTAAATGGAGTTAAATAAAATAATTCTAAAAAAAAAAAAATTTTCCCGCCAGACTCAAAACGCGCAAGCGCAGAGCCCTTTCAGAAGGGGACGCAGAGGTTTATGGGAAGTGTAGTCTTGGATAGACTGGGTCGCCGCGCAGCACCCTGGGAAGGAGGCTCCCTGGCGCCTTCTGCGCGTGTGCAGTCCCAGCCCCACCTCCTCGCCTGTCTTCTCTGGACTCCCTGGAAGCGGTTTGGGAACCCGGGAGTCCGCCGGGGAAGTAGAGGGTGTGCACCTAGGGTGAGAACTGGGGCGACCAGCCAGCAGGGATTCGCCCGTGCCCGGGAGGGGAAGTTCCTGGGGAGCTCTCCCGTCTGCGCGATGGGCGCTGCCTGGCCTGCCCTGGGCCAGCGGAGGGCGTGGGGAGGATGCTGACCCCTGCGCTCCCGGGTGCTCGGTGCAGCGGGCTGGGCTGTGCGGGACCCTGACCCGCCCAGCCTGGAGCGGCGGGGGGGGGGCCGCC